AAATGTTGTCCTCCATGGCCTTATAACTAGAAGTCTACTATCCGCTATCAAATATTGATTAGTCGTGATTTTACTTAATCTCACCAGCAGACTTTTATCAGACATCGTGTTTTGACACTTGTCATTTAGTTTGATGCTACGTCTGACTTCATCATTTAAGAGTTGTCAATTTTAGTTTTAATGGATTACGATGTTGACGCTTAAAAATGGTGGAACATCATTTCGTATACGAACGATATTTCAATGATTTAACTGAATAATTATATGCTCCTTTTAAATAATATTAATACTAAAGCACTAAAGCTCATTCATTCCCAAAAGCACAATAATATAATCCACTAACAATAATATCTCCACAGTAAAAATAAATCTACAATATATAAATCTATAATACTATATAAATCTACAATATATAAATCTATAATACTATATAAATCTATAATACTATATAAATCTTTAATAATATAAATATATATAAATCTATAATACTATATAAATTTACAATAATATATAAATCTAAAAATATAATAAATCTACGATAATATAAACACATCTAATGATATAATCTACAATTGCAAATTATTATAGATGTGAATCATTTTTCAATTTTTTTATAGTTTTACGTATTATATTATGAAAAATATTTTTAAATCTTTGAATATACGAGTACACCTAACATTTAGCAGAAACAAAGATATGATTCTTAATTTGTTATTTTTTTTTAGTATACATTTATTCTCTTTGTAAAGGAACTATATTGTTTACAGTTTCGAGTTATTGAGGAATTATTCCATGTATTTTTGAGTTGGTCAAAAATTAATTTTCTTTCAAAATTTTAAATTTCAGTTTTAAAATATTTTTTTTCTCATTGAATTAAGTTTTTTTCAGCGGAAAATTGAATTGGTTTATTGATTGATACATTATATTTTAATACACTTTATAACAAATGTTTGAAGGAAGAAATACACATTTTTTCCTACAAACATTTTGAAGGAATATTTATTGAACAACAATTATATATATTATTATTATTGTACTAATCAGTTTTTTTAATTGCTAGTTTAATATTTAGAAAGCCGTGGAAATTCATATTACTTGAAATTTTCCTCAGTAAGACAAAACATAACAAAAATTTTTTGTCTATGTTAGAAATGCTAAATGTTTAGTTCTAGTTTTCTAGTTTATGCTAAATTTCAGTTAGAGTTTTTTTATAAGTAAAATTCTTAATATGAAAATATATTTCATTATTTTAAACATAAACGAAGAAATGAGACATTTGAAAAATTACAGATTCAATTGAATTTACAGTTATTAGTTACATATACAAATATGTGTTAAATTAAGAAATTAGATTAAAATTAGAAATTCAGAAATTAGATTAAATTAGATTTAAATTTTTAGATAAACATTTAAAAATTTTAATATACTAGAAGACTATATACTAGGAAATTCTACATTCTATATAAGAAAAGTTCTTAATTGTTATTCGTACGTAATTCTCGTTCTAATGTCATGGATTAAAAGTATTCAATTTCAAAATTGTTGCCCCAATTTTTGATTATAAATGATATTGCTTTAAGAAATGCATATGTGTCTTATAATGCTTCAGTTTTTAATTTGTTTGCCGTTTGCTATAAAATTGTACATCTCCACATTAGATTTAGACCCACTATATACATTTGTTTGGAGTGAAAAATTGAAACATAATGAATTGTGTTTACTATTATTCTTACATGTAAACACAGATAATATAAAATAATGATACTAAACGCACATTGTAAAGAAATATATAACGCTTAAAATAAAATATAAAATATATATCACTATAAACGAACTAACAAAAATGAAATCACTAAAAATATTTATTTTACTAGTGATATGTGCTTCTCCAATCCTTCACTTAGCTTTTGCAAATCCATCTCAATTTGGTTATTTGCGCATCTTAATTGGGGTTGCAGGTTAGCGTCCGTTATGTTTGGACATGTGTTGTGTTTGGTCAATTTCATTTTCGAAAAAAAAAAAAAAAAAAAAAAAAAAAAAACGATTCGCAGGTGTAGGTTGAACCAAAAGCGCTAACAACTTTAGTTAAGAGTCTAGCTTGCTCTGCAATCAACAATCGACTGTGCGTATCAAGGGATGGCCACTGCTTCACTGAGGGCAATTAAAGTGAACACATAGAACCTGTTATATTAGATGTTCCAAGATGCGCGCATAATGAATTCGCAGAATGCAATTTAATTATTTTGCGAACTCTTAACTATAAACTCGTAAATAAAACTGGCAATATCCAACATATATTCGCAAGAATAGTATTTTAAAATCAAAGTTAAATTTTTCTTTATAATTTCGACAGTTAATTTTTGAATAGATGGATGCACATATAATGTATTTTAATACATTGGATTTCACTTTTTGGCCACAATAAAATAAACAGTTTTTATTAAAGTGTGATAAATCTCATGAGCCGAAAAAATATTTCAAGACGGGCCTCATACGTGCTGCGGTTTGGCCACACCTGTTATAGACATTTAATAAAATTCTGAATCAAGACAATCTCTAAATATAAAGCTATAAATAAATTATTATTTCTACTTTGAATAGACAAGGGGCCTGATGGCCGAATGGCTAGCGCTCTGGCATTCGTTACCATAGGTATCAGGTTCAAATCCCGGCTTGGCCATGGGTGTTTGTAGTGGTTCAGAATCCACCGTAGGTCCCGGTCCTAATAGGATCGTAGAGCGATACGGGGGGGCATTGTTGCTCCTCGTCCGTGGCTATCTTTAAGTTACACGCGCGCCCTGGGTAGTGCAAAGTGAGTAATGTCTGTGCTGCAGCCTTAAGGCATCAAAGACAATTGCCTAAATGGTTGCCAGCTGCATTAGAACGAAAAAAAACTTTGAAAAGGCAATTTTATTATTTTAATATAATTTTAAGTACATTTAAATGTTACTAATTACAAGTTTAAAGGCATTTGCAGCTGAAGGATTAGTAAATATAATATTTTTTATACGTCCGACTCGTAGCTCTGTGGCAACGACCGCCACTGATGAGCAATGGGCCGAGGTTCAATTCGCAAGCGGTTCTGTTGCAGAAAACGAGGAGTCTCGATGAATTTTGAGATGTTCAGTTTCTTTCCTCGTTCGTCGGACTACCTGATGGAATTTTTCAGGTTTTTCTCTCATACGATACTCAAAAAAGTCCTCTCGGAAGGCATACTCTCCTTCTTCAGCGATTCGGAGCCAACTCAGACTTCTACCTACCGGTGCTCCATCACAACAAGCTGCCCCCTTTCCCTCCTTCTATAACCACACACACGGGCTGATGGACTTGATCTAGAGGTTTCTGTCGACCAAGTGGGATAAGAAACAGCATATTTTTTTTTATATATTCAATATCATTTGTTATACCGAAACTTTTAGATTAATAAGTTTAGTTTCCTTTTCTCAAATAATATGTAGAGTTACAATTTTCTATTCTAATAATAAAGACGAATTAATTTATATAATAATTTTTTTACATGAAAAGAAAGTTTATTTCATAGATGCAAATAATTGATTGAATTGATTATTATTTGATTTTTTGAATTATTATTTTCCGTAATACTTTAGTTGATTCGCGTTGATTTACAGAAAATGAGTAAAAAACTAAAAAAAAAAACAAACAATTTCTTTTTAAAGACATACACTACGTTATCAACAATTTTTTAAAACATTTTTAACTCCAGAATATCACATAAGAGACTCTGAGAGATAAAAAAAAAAAAAAATACCAAAATGTTATATTGAAAACTTTCAATCTGAAGAAATTTCACATGTTCAAAAGAAACAAGTTTTTTTTAAACTTTATTTTTATAAGAACACACTATTATATCTTGTGATTTGAAACGCATGTTAAAATTAAAATATAATAGATAATTTTACAAGCTTAACAATATGAAATACACTACTCAATTTTTTCATTTTTTAAAAAAAATTTGTATTCAATTTTATTTGCAAATGTTTAATAACAATAAATATTTAATAATATTCAATCAATATTGTGTTAAATAAAAATGCATGCAGAATTTTTACTTTTAAAACTTAAGGAAGACTGTACATTTTAAAGATCATGCATTTGTTATACTGATAACATTTTTTTCTAATGAAGCTGGCAAACACTTAGACAGCTTTGTCTTGGATGACTAAAGGCAAGCTCTGCACAGACGTTACTCACTTTGCATTACCCAGGGCGCACGTGTAACTTGAAGATAAGCCACGGACGTAACAATGCCCCGAAACGCTCTATGATCATATTAGACCGGGACATACGGTTTAAAGTGGATTCCGAAACACTACAAACATCCATGGCACCGCCGGGTTCGACCGAACCTGTGGTACCGAGCGCCAGAGAATAGCCACTCGGCCATTCAGGCCTATGTACTGATTATATTTGACTTATAATTATTTTAAAACGGTATAGAACTGGCTACTGAATTTTTTTCGATTTAAGAGTACTTCAACTTTCTTGTAGTGTATTACAATTAATTTCGCTGGAAAACACAGAAGTAAAAGCGCATTCAAATGCCATATTCTACCTGATAGCTCAAGTGATTTCTTCATCCCACGCGAATTATTTTAGTTTCATTCTGAACTTTGGCTTCCTGCAGGCATGGTGTGATCTGCTTACTGTCACTCTCTGCGAGTCGAGGCGTGACGTTTTTTGCATTAAAATGTATCGCTGCCAGTTTTTAATAGCTGCGAATTTTATTTGAATTGTGTGTCGTGTTTATGCGATCGCCTTAAATGTCCTTATGTAAATAAATATTAATTTGTTGAACTACCATCTTCTTCTTACAAAAACTGCGTCATCTTGTAGTTCCTGTCGAAATAGTTGAAATATTTAATCTTCTCTCGATGTGAAAAGAAGTTTGAACTAGCTCCGAGGAATGTTGGGTGCTATCTATGTTTTGTTAAATTGTTAACGATTTTTATAACAAAACTATCGATACATATTTAATGCCAACGGCCATACCATGCTCGTTAGATCGTTCTCGTTAGATCACCGAAGTCAACCATCATTGGGCGCGGCCAGTACCCGGGTGGGTGACCTCCTGGGAACACCGCGTGCCGTCGGCATTCACAAATTTGGGACCTGAATGGCCGAGTGTCTAGCGCTCTGGCGCTCGGTGCCACAGGTTTCGGGTTCGAATCCCGGCGGTGTCATGAATGTTTGTAGTGGTTCGATATCCCCTCTAAGCCGTAGGTTCCGTCTTCTATGACTGTAAGAGCGTCACGGAGCCAAAGTCAGACTTCTACCTACGGGTGCTCCCATCACAACAGAATCTGCTTCCTTCCCCTTCAATCATGAGTACGTACGGGCTCGTGGGCTTGGCCAGCCAAGTGGGATAAGATACAACAACAAAACACATATTTAATAATACATTTTAATGTAGTGGTTTAATGTCTTTTATCAGTTTTCGTCATGAATAACATTAAGAATTTTGTTCTTACTTTATTTGACTTCTGATTGTCATTTAAAATTTATTAAGTATATTTAAATATGAGCTTATTTATTTAAAAAGCACAAGTAATTAAAGTATTCCGCATGTAAATAAACTCATGTTTGTGAAAATTGCAACACCATGAAGGAATCGTCATAATTGAATGAAATTTAATACAAAGTTGAGTGGGAGTGGTACAAATAAATGATTAAATGTTCAAAGCAAACAAACAATAACAAGAGATCGGAATCAGTATTTTTGTGTAACCACCACGCGCCGCAATATGTGCTACACGACGTGTTTGACAATACAGCGATTTGTTTGACTCCATGCTACACGACGTGGCATGGAGTCAAACAAATTTTGAATGTCTGCCTGAGGAAGAGCACTCCATATTGTTTGTATGCGTACTCAAAGTTCGTCTGCAGAAGCAACAGGACAAGGATCACGAGCGAGACCCCGACCAACGAAATCCCACACATGTTCAATCGACGACATATCCGGGAAATACGCAGGCCAAGGAAGAAGCTGTACCTGCCGAAAGAAGGATTGAACAGTCCTAGCAACATGAGGGCGGGCATTGTCCTGTTGAAATACAGCGCCTGGCAAGCTTTGAAGGAAGGGAACAGCTTGGGGCTGTAGAACTTCACTGATGTACCGGTTGCTGTTCAGATTGCCCACAATTCTTAGCAATTGAGATCGTCCATGATATGCTATTTCACCCCAGACCATAACTCCGGGTGTTCGTCCACTGAGCCTTCGATAATGCACTCCGGAAGGTGTCGTTCACCGGCATAGCGTCTGACACGAATGCGGCCATCATGGTACCACAAATTAAAGCGGGATTCGTCAGAAAACACGACATGCTGCCAATCAGCACGCCAGTCTCTGTGCTGAGCGGCCCATTGTAGCCACAGGCGGCGATGGTTTAGCGTGAGAGGAATCCTATATAAAGGAGTCCTTGCGCGCAGTCCACGCTGCAGCAGATGTCTACGAATTGATGAAGCACACAATGAAACACCTGTAGCTATTGACCACTGTGCTGCCAATTGTCTAGAGGAAGCTGTACGGTCCGTCAGCGCCATGCGAACCAGGTGTCTAGCATCGCGAGCTGACGTCACATTTCGGGGTCCACTCCCGAATTTCCGAGTTGTCCGACACTCGTCCGTCCACTGCTTCCAAAGACGCATCACTGTGCTGCTGTTACGCTGCACACGAGCGGCTACTGCACGATAAGACAATCCAGCTTCACGAAGGCCGATGATTCTCCCCCGTACAAACTCTGTAAGTTGTTCAAATCTCGCTCTCTTTCGTCGAAGAGGCATACGTAACGATTGATCTAATGTTTACCACTAGCAGATAACCACCGATAACCATACACGCCTCGCTACAGCCGTCTATTTATTCGGATCCATCCGCCGTTCAGAGGGCGCTGCTCAGCATATGCATGCGGTACGGATTTGAAATTCTAATCATTTGCATATCATGCGCTATTTTGCATTTCCTGAAAATCTTAGCTCACTCGCGTAAGTCCTTCACGGTGTTGCAATTTTCACAAACATGAGTTAAGTTCAGAAAAATGGCATAAATTATACGCATTTTGTACTAGAAACACACACATATCTATGTATAAATTTTGTAATTTATATTTTTTCATCTAACTTTATAAATGTCATGATCATTGTCGCTCATTTAACTTTTAAAATAATACTTATACGGTAAATTGTGAAATTGCACTCTCAACTTCCTAAAAACATGGAACGTCGTAAATACAGCGTAATTATTGTATTTTTCCAAAACGGTATTCCTAGAAATGATTCAAAAGAACTTAATTATGATGAATTGTAATTAATTCCCAAATTTAATAACATTGCTAATTAATGGCTAACTCCAATTTTTTTTTATTTTGCTTAACCAAGTTTTTCTTAATGCAATTGATTCAGCGCATGATAAGACCTTTGTGCTGAAAATTCATTACAAAATTCCGATTAATTCCCGAGTCAGAGAAAAGGGCCAGTACTCAAATTTACAAATGTTTCCTTCAGTAATTGAATATTATATTACCATCTTGTTACAATATCTAAGAAAATAGCAATAATTTTATTTAAAAATAAGAAAATGTATAATTTATTAAAGAGAAATTATTCAATTTGTTTATTTTAATAATAATAATTACGTTTTTTTATTATTTTGTGGAAATTATAACATTAATCTTATTCATACAATATTTAAGTGCAATCAATTATGATTATGTTAATCATAAATAGTTAAAATTCATTGTGATGCCACGATTTAAAAATAAGTATTATTTTTGTAGATATATTAAATATTCGAAGCAAATGATGTGAAGATAGAAACTAATTATAAAATGGATGAATTGTTTTTAATTACGCTAGTAATAAATTTTTTTTAACATTTTTAAAGAAAGTTTAAAAAAGATGTTTTTTCTGTACAAGTTATTTATTTTTAATTGATGAAACGGAGACATATTTTTGCAAAATTATTTTTTAACGAGAAGTTTTTAAAATTAATATTGATGGAAATATTAAAAACGAGTTTTTAAAACTTTTTATAATATAATTGATTTAAAAATGAATAACTTTTTTTTTATTATTTTAATAAGACAATTTTCAATTAAAAATATTTTACATAAGAAGAAGTTGTTAAATGGAATTTACAAAGAAATTAAAATGAAAGAATTGTATAATTGCGAAATAATATTTCAATTTGTATCATAATTAGTCATTATCATCCTCATCCGTGGCGCAACAGCCCCATGATGGGAAAATGTCGTCTGTCTACTGGCAGATTTCGAGACAGGAGAAGTTATCTTTTACTAGGAAGGGTTGTCAGCTCTACGATCATATCATAATTAGTGATTGAAGAAATATTATTGAAATCAGTGTTTCGAAATTATTTCGTAAATAATTAACTCTTTATTGCCTCATTATATTAATATTAAAGCAAAATTTTAAAATTATTTCAAACAAAATTTTCCTCAATGTATTATTCTGTAGTATTTTGTTAGGGAATTTAAACATTTTTCGTTCTTTTCATATATTTTTATTCACATTCATTAATCAGTTCATAGTATTCATACATACATATAAACGTGTATTGTTGTATGTGTATTGTGTATGTATTGTATGCGTGTATTGTTGTGGCCTTGCAATGCAAACTGGTCCAGTTTCTAACTCATTTTTTCCCTTTCTGTTTTGAATTTTTGCATTGAATCTTATATGCTTTGCTATATATATATATATATATATATATATATAAGCAGAAACCATTAAATGTTGTCCTGCTAAAAAGAAATGCATTGTAGAAAATTACATACGAATATATACGAATACGAATATATTCAATATTAGTATGCACATATATCGTTCTGATAAATGTGCATACTAATTTTTTTATGGATATCTTTTGAAGAGTATATAAGAAGGGTATTAAATGCTGCAGCACCATCTGGGGACAAGTAACAATAAACCGAATGGCGCTAACCTATTTTCTATACTCGAACAAATATTATTACCAATTTTCAGAGCGATTGGTTTAATGGTATAGAATTTGATATACTGCATTATCATCTGGCGGTGACTTGCAACAAAGGGGATGGCATAAAAACATTCTAACTCAAAAACATACAAAAAATTTCATCAAAATCGGTCCATCCGTTTAGGAGGGGTACAGTAACAAACAAAGGTACAGAAGATATCGATTGCAGGGCCACCAATGGACAAAATCTAAACCATCTTGGGACCCACACAAACAATAAAAAAATTTCATCAAAATCGGTCCAGCCGTTTAGGAGGGGTACAGTAACAAACACAGGTACAGAAGAATTATATCGATTGCAGGGCCAATTGGATCCAATTGTGAATCTAAACCATCCAGACACCCATTCAAAACACATAAAAAAATTTCATCATAATCGGTCCAGGCGTTTAGGAATCGGTCCAGCCGTTTAAACCATCTTGGGACCCACACAAACACATAAAAAATTTCATCAAAATCGGTGCCGTTAAGGAGGGTACAAACAAACACAGGTACAGAAGAATTATATCTATTGCAGGGCCACCAATTGGATCCAATTGTGAATCTAAACCCTCTTGACACCCATTCAAAACACATAAAAAATTTCATCATAATCGGTCCAGGCGTTTAGGAGGGGTTCAGTAACAAACACAGGTACAGAAGAATTATATCGATTGCAGGGCCACCAATTGGATCCAATTGTGAATCTAAACCCTCCAGACACCCATTCAAAACACATAAAAAAATTTCATCAGAATCGGTCCAGCCGTTTAGGAGGGGTTCAGTGACAAACACACGTACAGAAGAATTATATCGATTGCAGCATCACCTGTCAGGTCCAATTGTGAATCTAAACCATCCAGGGACCCGCTCAAACACAAGCAAACAATTTCATCAAATTCGGTCCAGCCGTTTAGGAACAGTTCAGTGGCAAACACATAAACACATGTACAGAAAAATTATATGTATATATATATATATATATACATATATAAAGGAAAAAAATTAGAGTGCTTAGCTTGAAAATCGCCTAAATTTTGTTCCTTTAGCAAGAAAATTTCTGAGATTCAAATCATTAACAACATTGTCACTGTC